TGAATTAAGCTCTCCAGGAATAAAACAAAACAGCGAAGCTTTATTTTCTTTTTCTTGTTTTTAATCAGAAGCTTGGGTTTATTATTATTATTATTTACAGGTGCAGGGGACTGGTACGGGATCTGGAAGAGGAGGGATGCGATTTTCTCCAGTTTTAGCTTCTCTCCACTGGCTCCCTGTCAAATTCAGAATAGAATTTAAAATATTACTCCCAACATACAAAGCTCTTGACAACCAAGCTCCATCATATAGTAAACATCTTATTGTTCCATATTTTCCTGAGCACTTTGCTCTTAGACTGCAGGTTTACTTGTGGTTCCTCGAGTTTCTAAAAGTAGAATGGGAGGCAGAGTTTTCAGATATCAAGCTCCTCTCTTGTGGAATCAACTTACAGTTTCTGTCCGTGAGGCTGACACTCAGACTGACTCAGGCACATGATCTTTCTAGAGCGTGGAGGACAAGGTGAATGATCTCAAGACGTGTCGTGGTAGGAAATCATAAAGGTAAGATGCATCAGCATGAGCCAGACAGCCATGGAGCTTTTTAAGCCGCAGCAGCTCATCAGTATCATCACTCACAGGCGCAGATAATGGAGCCAGGAACTAATCAGGAAACACAGGAGCCAAAAAACACCAATCCTTACCTCTTTAATACAGAACTTTGTTGTCTTCTGACTACCTGACACTCAGTAAAATTAGTTTCTCAGTTCAGATAAAAGACTCTTCATCAGCTGGAGCCCAAATTTACATGACAAGTTCCTCAGAGGTCCATTCTAGGCCCTATTTCTTTTTAGTTTCTTTGGGGTCCATTTTTGACAATGAATAAAGTTGCATAAAGTGATTCAACCAAATTATCAATTTCCTAATGACTCAAAACAAAATTGCAGTAAAGATTATTTAGAAACTGAAGAGAAAACTAAACTGGACAATGGTTAACAGGTGTGTTAATGGTTCAAGCAGCATCAATGACGTTTCTACAGGACCTGTGAGCAAAAGAACATGCAAAACCATATGGGAATTTGTTTCAATATATTTCAAATTTATATTCAGTTGTGAGGCAGAAAAACAAGGACTGTTTATAGTTTTGTGGTGATGCAGCTATTAAAGTGTGAAACCCCTCAACCAAAGGAAAATGTATTTGCTTTTGATTTATTTCTTTGTATTGTTCATCACTTTTGTCCAACTTAAATGGTTTTAAATGTTCTTCATGTATAATTGTTAAATCTTCCTATTGAATGAATAATTGCTGCCTCTTTGTTCTTTTTTATTATTTTACATGAGATTGATCGACCACTTTTCTAGGGCAGAAAGTATGTGGGAAAGTTAGGATGAAAGATAATTCAAAATTTGAAGAAACCCTGGCAGCTCTGAATCATGTGGCGGCATCGTGATCATTACAGTAGAAGTACAAGGACACAATGTCTTTTGTGTTGAAATTTGAATGCTTATTTTTCTGAGGCATCTTTGTTGAACTTAGCATTTGAACCAAGTCTTACTCTGATTCCCACGAGGGGTTTGTCTCTTTAAAATGTTTCTTTGAGGAGTTCACTTAAATATGTGACAAAAAGAATAGTCTGGAGTTTTACTCTCTGGAAGTCACTTACAAAAATGTGTTGCTAAATATTGACTGTGACTGACAAATTTATAATTGCAAAGACACGCTGAGAATTGAGTACAATTTTTTTCACTGGCAATATACAAAAAAAACGAGAAAACATAAAGCATGTTAAGACTGAGATGAGTTTTCATTTCAATTAAATATTCATAAAGATCGGGTTTTCAAGGTGTACGAGGGTAAGCCCCCCCCACCCAGAGAGTATACAAGAAGACATTGAAAAGTATATCTGAACAGACGAGGGCTATAGGAGAGTTGACTCGCACTGAAAGAGAGTATAACTTTTAGAGACAAGCCCAGCCAAGATAGGAGTGGGAAAACAAAATCCAGGTCTCAGTATACAGAAGATGGCAGACCTATTTGTTTCAAATGTAAAGGAGTGGGACACGTCGCAAAAACTTGCAGTCAACTCAAACCAGCACATCAGCCAACTACCTTTGCATCGTTTCAGGAAAACTTCCTCGGATGCTATGAGCCAGGCAATCTGAGGCGAAACCAAAGGCTCTGGGATATTTAATCAGGAACAGTTTCTTGAGAATGCTGTTGGTGAATGTTGTGAAGTAACCATTCAGGTCAGTGGGGGTTCCATTAAAATGTCTTTTTGGGTTGTGGGTTTTTAATAATCAAAGGCCCAGTTTCAGGGGGATTGCTGAAGGTGCAGAGTTGAAACAGTCAGCACCCAAGGAACCTGTCCCAGGCCTCATTGGCATGAACATCATAAAAAGGTGTAAACAGTTGGTTTTTGCTGAATTTGATCCCACCATGAATGGACAGCTTGATCTCGATTGGAGAGAAGCATTTCAAAGAGCAGTGACCTGTGAATTAAAGGACAGAACAACCACAGACAGAATGTCAGGTAAAGTACATGTACCTGCCTGGTCAGTGGCAACAGTTTTTGCCAGACGAGTCAAAAGTCAAGCTCTGACACTAACACATCACTAGTTGTGATTCCCACTTTAATAAAATCAAGTGAGGCTTTGTTTCTTGTGCAGGTGGTAAACTTCTCACAAGAGGACGTGCCCTGAAACTAAGCTTGGCACCATGTGTACAGTAGAATGTATTGAATCTTATGAAAAAGAGGTACATTTTAACCACATTTCAGCTGGACAGGAGGAAGTGATTGAACCAAAACTGAGACAAACAAAAGATACAGACTTGAAGTCAGTGATGAACCACCTTCACATGGGTAGTACTGAGGTAGAGAAGACAAAGTTGGCTAAACTTTTGTTAAACTACAGTGATGTGTTTTATTTTCAGGATTAGGACTTGGGTTACACGCACAAAGTTAAACCAACCAATCTAACTGATGATACACCTGTAACCCAACCATACCGTTGAATACCTCCTGCAATGAAGTTAAGGAAAGTGTCTGAAAAAGGGAGAATACCGAGGTGCTTTCCCACTGATTCGCATTGAAAAAAGGTTTGATGCCCTGCACGGTGCAAAGTTTTTCTCTGCTAAAGACCTTGCCAGTAGTTATCACCAAGTTGCAGTGTATGAAAAGGATAGACATAAGACAGCTTTTACCATGTTTTGGGTTATATGTACTCCCATTTACCCTTTGGTAAATCAACGACCCTGCCACATTTCAGAGGCTAATGCAGGTGACAATGAATGACATACAACCAGACATACTGTAATAGTCACATATCACCACTGCACATAGTAGGTTCCACTCCTGACTGTGAGAGGCTTCACTGTTGGTGAGCTCAACTATACTGAGAACTGAAAAAATCTGTTAATGAAGTGATTCAATTCTGTTTGTTCACATAAAAAAATTGTTAATTTGAATGAATTTCTCCTGAAAGACAACACTATCGCTAATAGTGGGTTAGCAGATGAGTGGAATTGTGCCCACCACTGGTTCAACCCATTCTCACTCCCATGTCGTCACATATTGACGCTTTTCCAAGGTTCCCTCTACGTCCGATTTTGACGCGCCGGGTACCCCCGTCACGTCAGTTACTGACGAGATGGGGCGAAATCTGTTGTCATATTTTCAGAAAGTGTAGAAAATGCGCAAAAACTACCGTTTCGAAGCCTGAAATTACCTTTGTTCACTTTAGACATCCTGTCCCTGACCCTAGTACCTAAAATTAACCATTTTTAGAAAATGTAGGAAATTCACGTCAACATGTTCCAAAGCCTGAAATTACCTAATATTCACCATGGACATCCTACCCCTGATCCCAGTACCTAAACTTAACCATTAATCCTGATCCCTCATGTTAACCTCAGACCCCCGACCGAAAGACCCCTGGTGGCGCAACCCGGAAAAGCCGCAGGCGTCAAGGACTGACGCGAGGGGGGTACCCGGCGCATCAAAATCGGACGTAGAGGGAACCTTGGAAAAGCGTCAATATGTGACGACATGGGAGTGAGAATGTGTAGACTGGTTACATATATACTGTATGTCAGCATTTTTTGTGTGAGTCACAAGCAAACATTCAACAGCAGACACATCGGTCATTCACATCTAYCTCAGGTATGCAACATAATTTCAGTGCGCTCATTTAGGCCCAGCAAATACATTAMATTTCCTGGATGTAAACATAAATGAAAATAGCAATTTACTTTTGTTAATTAAATGCTGGTGTTTAAAATGCTATGAAAACAGGCACTTTTTTACAATCCTATTTGTGTACATCAAATTTAAATTCTCAGCATGACTGATTTGTGGTTTTCTTTCCCATTGGCATTTTCTATTTGTAGCTAATGAAAATCACACTTGCAGCTTATCATACAAACTTATATTGAAGAAAACTGTGGCCCAGTTCCTTATGTTGCCCTTTAGGGGGGAAAAATTAATATAAAAAAGGAATTGTCACTTGTCAGATAAGCTTCTCTCAGAAAGTAAAGCCTCCTCAGCCAAACCACAAAAACTTCTGATGCATACTAAATGTGGATATTGCAGCAGCCTTTGGTGCTTTCTCTTCCTCTCCTCCGCTGTCTGTGACATTTTGATGCTCATTAGGATGCCTGTGCAGGGAGCTCTGAGAAACTAAACTTCTTAGGTGTTCTAGGTTGGATTAAACCCAAACAAAGAATGCCTGTTAATCTACTTAATTTAACTTATTTTAGTAGTTTTAAATTTAGTACACTGGACCCTGGTTAAAGTAAAAGTTGCATATTTATTTATTGATTATTTGCTCTTAATGCCAGTCATTCTCTAATTGTGACAGAAAGCTCTCTAAAGAGGAAGTGACAGAAAATTAATCCACAAAGCTGCAATACACGGTGGCTGTAAAGGTAAGGTTACACATGCAATTAAAATGGTACGGCACGCTCACAGATCCAATCAGTTTCTGTCTGGGTGCCCCAGAACAAATTACCTACCCGTGCTATTCAAAAACCGTCACCACTTACCTGTATGTGTCAATCTAAATCTTTTAAAATCACGTTTTGACTGAGAAGGGTTTACCATTGGTATCACGACAACAAAGAAACGTGAAATAAACACAGATGGTCGAAGAAACATATAATTTGCTATTTCTGTCATTAAATTAAGGCCAAATCCTTAATCAGTATTTTAATCCTGCTAAAGAATTTCCTCCCCCGCTTGGTTTTCTTGTGGTAAATTATCAGATAGAAAAACAGGATAAATCTMGTGAGTCTTTCCTAAAATGGGTTAGTGTGGTGTGTGTGACTCTAGAGCTGCACAGATGCAGATTCATTGCTGGGGATGACACAGACGTCTTCCTGTGGTGTGTAAACATGACCTCTCCATCTGCTAGTGGATTAAGAAAAGTGAAGTTAGTTGGACACTTGGGTCTGAGGCAGGATATTAAAGACGAGTACAAATTTTGACCCAAAAGAAAATTCTATAAAGCAGTTCAGCAAGAAAACAGTAATATGAAGAAATTTATGATTCTATTAAGATAATATCAGACTTTACATTAGTCTTACAATAACTTAACATTTGCCTTAAAGGGGCAATATCATGTAAAATCTACCTTTTTTAGCTTTATATCATGTTATAATGTTATCCTCTCATGCACGTCCCTCGCCGCTTCTCAAAGACGTAAGACGAACACTGTGGCATGGGAATTTCTAGTCCTTCAGCGCAATTCCTCCCCGCCGGACTGGTTGACGACGACGCGCTGCGCSGCCATCCCAGGGGAGAGCAACAGACTGGTGCCCGGGGAGGGCAATGCGCATCTGTCACCACTTCCCGACGACTGCGTAGTGAAGGGGGGAAAAACGAAGCTGCTCGCCTCCTCCGTCATCAGTCATGGCTGTGCACTATTTTTACACATTAGTTTGTGTTAAATAGCAAATCATGCATACCGAACAGCAACACTAAACACACATCACTTACCGCCATCATCTGCAGATTTGTGAGGCACCACAGGAAAACCAGCGACAAGTTACTGAAGCACAAACCGAGAAAAAAAKGAAAAACTATAATTTTCTGAGAAAATAGTGGTTTTCGTTTTTTGGCAAAATGTACTCGTTGAAGTTATAAAGAATCCACCCCATGTTTTAAAGGGATCCCCAATTAGTTGTAACATTAGACTTTATTTAATAAACATATTTATTTAACTGTAAAATAAAGACTGTAAAAATACTGTAGGATGTTTAGTTTTTATAAATTTTTAACTAAAAATTTAAAATATATACAGTAGTTC